AGTCTGATCATAATTCTAGACTTTGAAGCAAGTAGAAAAATGAGAAGAATGGCAGGATACAGAAGTAAGAAAAAAGCATTGAGAATGCTGATAACTGTAATTTTCCCCCTATTGTCCTGAAAATATTCATGAAAGATTTCAAGGAGAAAAAAATAATTCAGTAATTCTTAGAGTCATCATTTATATATAGTAGAATATCAGTTAATCTGAAATTGATCTTGGTGGAAGACATAGCTTTTAACTTCTTGAGATTAAATTATCTTCTGGTGCTTTAGTGAAACACTACATAGCTGGTTCCAAATTTTCAAACTGTGAAAACATGGAATATATCACCTAAATTAATACTTTATTTTATATGTAGGCTGTCAGTTTAGTTATAAAAATCAATTCAACTCTTATATTTGCTGATATCTTGATGAAAAAATATCTGTATGAAAATTATCAACTCATGGTACTACTTACTACTTGGCAACATAAAGTCCTTGATAACAGGTTTTGTTTTATATTTTTTTAATTTTTTAATTACAGATGACTACAATATTGTATTAGTTTACAACCTAGTGTTTAGACATTTATATAACTTACAAAGTGATCACCCCAATAAATCTAGTACCCATCTGAATGTAGTTATTACAATATTATTGACTAGATTCCCTATGCTATACTTTACATCTCCATGACTATTTTGTAACTACCACTTTGTACCTCTTAATCCCTTCACCCTTTTCACCCATTCCTCTCCCTAACCCTCATCCCATCTGGCAACTCTCAAAATGTTCTCTGTATCTTATGAATCAGTTTCTTGATTGAAGTCTATACATAGCTCTTCCCTTGAGATACTTAAAGCATGAGGAATTAAGCATGCTATGGGAAATGCGAAATGCATTGATCATTTGAATAGACTTGGGATATATTTTCTTCATTCCTATTCCCCTGGCCCAAAATATTAACTAAAATTACTTTCTTTTTTTTTTCTTTTTTTTTGCCCATGATTACAAGCTCATATGAAAGCTCCAATGCTTTAATATAGTTTTGATGAAAATATTTGGCTTATTTTATATAAATATGTTTATTTATTTAAAGCTAGTTTTTGGGGTTGCTTTTTAAAATTGATTATTCCTATTGTGGTTTTTTTGTTTTACTTTTTTTTTTTTTTTTTTTTTTTTACATTGCTTCTTTGAAAGCTCAGATCTGTTTCATTTTTACTCACATATTAGCCTTGTTTAGGGCCTAACAGATAGTGAATAATACTGATGAAACCTTAGACAGTGCACTTAACTGCCTTAGTGTCAGTTTCATTAACTGTAAATGAATCTTTTGCAGATGGTCCCTTAGGAGAGTGTCTGAAATTGGGGGTGAGGTGACAGGAGAAAGGTGACTTTCAAACTACACCCCCCTCATGCCATATAACAAGAGTTGTTACTGAGAGGCATGTATTATGCATGGTTTCAAAGTAGAGAAAATAAAGGTCATAATTCTTTTTAGTTCCTTACTGCTTTAAGAACTTGTGATTTCACAATCATAATCTTTCCATGCTCTTCCATCTCAACAAAACATTTTTACAAAATCAAGTCTACTTTGACCCTGTCAGTTGCTGAAGAAAGGGTCTGAAGCCCCTTAAAATGTTAAAATTGAGATGTTGATAATCATTTCTATTTATTGGTGTAGGTGTTCTTCATTTTTATTCAAAAAAGTAATTTGTCTTCTAACTACTTCAGAGAAATACAAGGGGGGGGTTATTTTTAATCTTTATATTTTAACCTTTATTTTTAACCTTATTACTGATAACATACCTATTTAACACATTAACTTATATCCCACTGTGCTGTGTGTGTGTGTGTGTGTGTGTGGTGCACGCGTGTGCGCATATATATATGTATATATATATATATATATATGCTTATCTTTATATGTATCCTTTCATTAGTTTATTAATAATAAAAATTCAGACTTTGGAAAATAAACTTTTTGCTTGCTTAATTTTTTTATTCCACTTATTTTATTCTAATCAAAGAAAAATATTTTAAGCCATCTGTTTTCTCCATTCTTGGCTGCTATTATCCTGACTATAATTGCCTAGTTGTGTTTCCTACTGATCTACTGCTAGCCTTTATTTGAATGTTATTAAAGAATATAAATGCTCCATAGAGCACCATAGTCTCGGCCAGAATATTTTCAGATTCTCAGCTAAAATGCAACAGAACCTGTGGTTTGGCTGTTAAGTAAGTAGTTTAGATTTGTTATCAGAGTGCATAAAGGACATCCTATATTCATTACGTTGGTTGTAGCTGCAATGTAGCATTTGAAAAATAGTTTACTGTTTATGGATTGTAGTCCTTGGGCACCAGATAGTGGATGTTGGAATGTATTGCAGCAAAGCTGATTAAAGTACTTGGCTCGCTAACAGTAAGAGTAGAAAGCCATTTGCAACACCTGTGTCCGACTCTGTCAGATATATGTAAATGTTTTCTTTTGAACACTTTGGTTTATTATCTATGAGGGAATACCATTTTTGCAAAAATGTGCCTTTTGGAGAAAACTGTAGGTAGACTGATTTTTAGCTTTGAAGATCCCAAATACTTTGCAGTTTTACTACCTAGCTATTGGAGTCACCTTTCACTATGACTTAGATTTCAATAGTAGCTACTTTCACTCCTCGATTTTAATGTTTTTACTATATATAAGGGAATTTATATTTACTCCAAAATATAAACTATGTCAAAATTCATTGTTCTACTCTGTGCACCTCCTCTTCGCTTTGGGCCACTTTTCTTCCCAACTATAATTCTTTGGAGTAGAGCATAGAAATAGTTTACATAAACACAAACTTAGCAGCTCTTTTAATATACTTTGTACTACCCTTGTTAAAATATTTTAATATTTCCTCATTGCTTTCAAAATAATGTTCAGAGTTCTTAGAGCGTCATTCATGATCTTTCTAATTCTTCTCTGCCTCATCCGTACCCATTCCCCTGCAAGTCCTTTATTTCAGGTTTGCAGGGCTACCATTTTCCTTCTCCTCACCCTTCTTTATCTGAGGATCACCTGTCTTCCTTCAAAACTCTGTGCAAGTTTCCCCTCTTTCAGGAAACCTTTCTTGAACTATAATTACCTGCCTTTTATTAATTTCTACTTAGACTAGTCTTTAAGCTCTTTATAGCACTTTATAAGATTTTTTTTTTATACTCTATTGTAATCGTTTGTTTACTCGTCTGTCTCATTTGATAGACTAATATTCCTTGACTATAGAGATGTTAGTGTGTCTCTTGGTTTTGAATCTGGCATATAGGCCTTTCAAATAAATGTTCATTCACTGAAAGAAAGACTTCTATGGATAATTCCATAATTTGATTTTCTTTGTTCTTGATATTTAAAATGTTTGAGATTATGGGTTATATCATTTTTCTCACAGTGGCATTTTAAATTAACTCACCAACTTCCATATTGCCAACTAAAATGTTTAGTAAAGATAGGTTTTTGGTTTTGGGAAGTCAAGAGCTTTATTGGTGAGGGATATAATAATACAAATCTTAAACTGTGAGTCAGTTAAAGAATCTGGAGTGCAAAGTATGGGAAATTGGAAAGGCCAACTCTTATCATCAGGAATCATGCATTCTAGCTTGATAGCATGTCATTTTATTGGTATATAAAATTTCCTTAGGGAAGAATAGATTTTTAAAAAATGATTTTTTATTAGAAAATAACTTTTCACAGTTCTTAGATTTTAATGTAATCTTAATTTGAAAGCAAGACTTATCTAAACTAAAATAATATTTGGCAGTGATGGATTATAGAACTTAAATATGTGCTTGGTGGTCCTGAAATGTCTTATGGTGTTTGCATTAATAGTCTGCATTCTGTAGCAAAACAGAAACAAAATGCAAAGAAAGCTATATTTATAAGTAAGATTATAAATATAATTTAAGCTTATTTCTTAATAGCATTAAACATAAGTATTTCTTCAGAGATATAGCAAACTGAGCCCATGTATTATTAAAGCTGAATCATAGTCCTGGCTATTCTCTTTCTCTATTGAATGAACAGACGCTATGCTATTAAAATTTCTTATTCTATAACTAAGCTTTCAAAAGAAACTTGTTTGTTAAATCTTGAATACCCTGGGAAGTTTGTATTGAAGGTCTTAAATTATATACCTCTTTCTAGTCTGTGATATTAAAAAACAGAATGAAAAAATGTATTCACATCTCAATAGTTAGATATCTGCTCATTCACAGAGACCCCAGCCTGCTTTTTAAAAATATTTTTAAGGTTTATTGTTTGTTACAACTTGGTACAGGATTTGTATAAAGTGTAAAGATTACGTATAGCATGTTAGAATATTATTGTCATTTAAATGTATTCACTGTTTTGGGTTTTGGAGCGCTGCCTCCAAGAGATTCATAGCATTTGGTACGTAGTCCACGTATTTCTAGTCTCCAGACCTACCCTATCCAGGCAAAGGCTTCAGGGTTCTGATTTTTTTTTTTTTTCTTCTTCTTCTGCTATAATACTCAGCAATGGCAATGAACGTGTGTTTTTTAACTTTCCATCTCTTTACCAAAAAACTGAGTTTTTTGAAAACAAGTAATATGTACCTTTAAAGAGCCACATTATTTTGCTTTTGTCTCAGAATGTATTATGCTTCACAAGTATACTGTGACAGGCTGAATAGAAAAGGGGGGAGGGCGTATTGTCTTCAGCTGGCATGCTGCTATCAGAGGGAATGTGTTTCTGGACACGAGATTTAGCATTCATTGGTTGTCTGAAGAAAGCTACTTCATCTGAGGATTGGACAAGAAGCTGCGTCAATTTGCTGCCCGTCTCCAAGGCACTGGTGATGCTGCCTTCACAAGCTGGCTAACGTCACGGCTCCATCACCCAGCGGGGTGTGGACTATCTTTTTCTGTTCTTCTCTATTTAATTCTCTGTTTGCTGCCTACTGCATTTCTTAATCTGTCTTCTGCCAAATGCTAACAGCATGATATTTTGTAATCATCTAGGTGAATACAAGAAAGACGAACTCCTAGAAGCTGCTAGGTAAGTGATTCCATTCATTTTAAGTGAGTATAATGCGTTTAAGGGAGAATAGGGGGTGGGCAGGTGGAGGACTGTAAAAATTATAACATGATATCGTCTTGCTTGATTGTATGCAATAATGCAGAAAAGACCTTATAGTAAATCTTCGTGGATTTTACTTTTCATGATTAGCTGCATTAAATGAGGCAGACTCAGTCTGGTGATGATTATAAGGTTAATTGTATTTGGAACCTATCTAAAGGTACCTGCAAACCTTAGTTGCCCGGCTTTTCCAATGATATTCTCAGGGTATTTAAATATCTATACCTTTATTTTTCTTTAAAATTTTTTCTAATTTTCAAAAGCTTAAATGGGGGACATAAAGTAAATGTTAAAATTCTCATTCATTTTCTTTTGTTCTTGTTCATTTATAATTTAATTGATTAGCTCTCTACTGCATTTTGTATATATTTTTAACTCCTGTGTTTTAGATCACTTATCAGAATAAAGTTTGCTTGTAATTAGGAAGGTGACTTTCTGCAGAAAAATAAAACATAAAAATGTAGAAAGCTAGATCTTCCAAGCTGTACTACTACATGGTGATTAATTAGGAATGTATTAATTGAATTGAATTTAGCAAAAGAGAGTCATTTAAAAACATAGGAAAGAAATTGAAGCAAACCCATACTATTTTCCTTCTCGTGAAAATAAATCTATAAATATACATAAGAAGCTCTGTAATTTTAAAAGAATGACATACCTTTTTATAGGAGTGGTAATGAAGAAAAACTAATGGCCTTACTGACTCCTCTCAATGTGAATTGCCATGCAAGTGATGGACGAAAGGTAAGTTATTTAAAATATAATATTCCCCTTCAGTAATTTCTTTTTGCTTTACAGTTAAAATGTTTGAGGTTGGCATATATATGTATGCATATATAACCGTATTTCCTGGCATCTTTTCACTGTAAAATGAAATGCTGCTGTATCTGTTATTGGCAGTTGTGACATATTCATTGAGCTGGTGAAGCATGGATGTTAAGCCTTCCTCTTTAAATGTCAGACACTGAAAGTTGTTTGTTAAATGAACTGTAGTTTTGTAGGTGATTAAAATTATAATAACATTTTTCTGTGTACGATCATGGAAACTGGAAATATCTGTTTATGTCCTATTTACCCATTTTTGTTAGGATAGATGCATTTTTTATTTCTTATTTGGCAGAGGAAGATTTATTTATTAGATACCAATACTTTTTCAATTTAAAGCTGAGAAAATGTTGCTAATGATTTTCTTTAGATCTCTGTGATAGCCATGCTTTTTGTTTTATTTTTTTTATTGGATAAGTTTTTATCATGGTATATGGACACTATAAAGTCTTTCTTTAAATGGCAGTTAATTTTTTAATGTTAAATATTGCTTTTATGTTTTAAAATCCTAACATATGTTTAAGGTTACACTGCAAATATTGAAGGAGATCATCTTGTGCCTAAAATTTAAAGAATTAATTCCTTTGAGATTATTCATTTTAAAAATATGCTTTGTAAACTATGAGGATGGATGGTGTTTCTTAGAAATAATACATATTTTGTCTTTAAAATTATTTTTCTGAGTGATGATTTTATAGATCATAATTATTCAGTTTTCCTTGACTGCTTCCACACTTGTTTCCCATTCTAAAGAAACCCATAGAATAGTGGCAAGAAATGAATTCTTGGAATATGTGTTGTTTGTTATTGTAGACAGCTTGCATATTATTTCACATGGTCTAATGAGTGTTCCACCTCTCTGGATAATTTGAAGAGAGACATACTTTCCTGTAAGGTTAAATTATATATATAAAACGCTAAACTAGCAGAGATTTACTAAATACTACTAATAGCTTTGTGGAGATTTTAAACATGATAACTGCTCATTTTCCCTACAGTTTTGAGGTTGCTTTGAGGATTTTAACATTCTTGAGAAACTTTAAAGCTCCAAATTTTGTTTGGCTCCTCTCTGTAGATAATGTGGCTTTTATCACAGTGCAGAACAGGGCATTTTTATCAATGGTAAGTGCAGCAATATCTTTAGCCAGAGCTCTTTATAGAACCCATGATGCTTCATTTTTCCATAGCCATTTTAATATTGCAGAATTTATGTGTGATTACTACCGCAAGAGTCAGATTTCCATTCCAGCCTTATTCTTCCATCTTTATCCTTATACCTTGACAGTCCCATTTTCAGCTCAGCAATCCTAATAATTAAGGAGCATGAACACTAATAATTAGCAAATTACTTCTTCTCCCTGCCTCACCCCCTACACAAATATATATATAGAGCTCCTTTATCTTTCCTTCTTATCAAAAGAGGATACACTTTCCTCATTCCTTTTAGCTGAAACCAAATTCCTATGGCTCCTTTTCTGAATTACTCAATGGCTTTTATCAGAGTTATTAAATTGTAGTTATTCATACATGACTTTTTCTTCCATTGATATATTAGCTCTCTTTTGTATTTTGCATCGGACCAAGCCAGGCACTTTGCATGTAGCAAGACCTTAAGATAGGAATATGTTCCCTGATAAGCAGTTTTATTCTCTGAGTGAAAAAAAGTCATCTGTTCTCTTTATCATTTAGATAATTAACTCAGAAATAGGTGAATAGGGATTTTATATTTCCTGTTACTATATATTATTACTAGTATTATTTTATTAATTTATTTTGAGTAATTGTACTATAAAGGATGGCATATATTTTAATGTTTAGAACATTTTAAAGAATATTTCTCAAATGTTCTACTGAATGATTCAAACATAAATAATGCAATAATTTTATAAAATGTACTCTTACTTTTTAGATTACCAATTTTTTCTCAAATTATAAAAGATTAAACAAGCATTTATAAGATTTTAGTGCTATTTCTGCACATAACAAAAACCATTTAAAATTTTCCATTGATATGCAAAATGCAAACAACATTTCAAAATTAAAATTGAATAATGTTTATATTTAAATATTACCCATATTTGGCACAAAGTAGTTTTTACTAAATATACTAGTTGCAACAGAGCCACAAAGTAGTAAATATTCTGGGTGCTAATGGGATTGGGATAAGATCCCTTAGTTATGACATTATCTTTTGTTTTCTCTCTATTGATATTAATAAAATGTGTAAGCAAATCTACCTATTAAATTATAAGTCTAATTTTTATATTTAGTATTTTTTCAAGCCATTTGCATGTATTCACCTGGAATTAGGAACTCAGGTTTTATATGAAGAGGATAAAGGCTCTTTATATATATATATATATATATATAGTAAGTTAGTTTACTTCTTGAAATTGTATTTTAGGACACAGTGCAGAATCAAATTCATTTTTAGAGGGTTTCTAAATAACTATATTAATGCTTAACTGAGTCCAGGCCTGACTCTGTTTTTACTACGATTCCTGGTTTGCAAATTAAAAAGCCCATGGGAATGTCAATTTTGTAATGTTTTTAGAAAAGAATTGCTTCTTATACATTAACTAGTAGATGGAGAATTTGCCTAGATATGTGTAGGGATTTTAGATTTCAGCATTCCTTTTTAATATAATGCATGGGATTATACATTGACAGTGTAAATTTTAAGTAGTTTCTTAATACTATTTGGTAACTTTATGATTATCTAATTAGTTAATATGTGAATGTTAATATTTTTATTTCCCACAGACATTTGTTTTTCATAATCTATAGAATTATGAAAATAGTAAAGCATCATTAAGGTTTTAAGTAATTTATATTTTTAATTTTATTCTTTTATTTTATATGTAAACCAAATGGAACTTGACTACTTTAGAAATTTCCAGTTGTTTTTTATTTTTCTCTAAAGAGCAAAGGCAGTTTTAAGTAAAGAAAAAAACAACAACTTTGGTCTGAAATTCTATTTTTATAGAATTATACACATGTTTTAATGATGGTCACTTTAGAAACTTGGGGCACAGATATAATTTATTCTTTTTGTGTCTCTTGTTCAGAATGATTAGGTACAATATTCCACAATTATTTTGAATTGAGTGGAGTACAACCAGATCCTTAAGACAGATTGTATTTTCAAACTTAAATTTGTTTTCAATTACTCTTTCTTTACAGTATTTTCTATCATATTCTTTTTTGTTTATTTGTTTTTTAATATATTTTTATTGATTTCAGAAAAGAAGGGAGAGGGAGAGAGAGATAGAAACATCAATAATAAAAGAGAATCATTGACCGGCTGCCTCCTTCATGCCCCATACATACTCAAAACCCAGGTAATGTGCCCTGACCGGGACTCAAACCGTGACCTCCTTGTGCTTATGTTGATGCTCAATCGCTGACCCACACTGACTTGGCTATATCAGACATCTTATTAGCAATTATACAGATGTTCTGGCCTTGATTGATATGTAAACCTAAGGAGATGATGGTTTTTTGTTTTTCAATATTTTCATAGGGATACCTTTTTACAATGAATGAAAATATTTGAATACATCTCAAATTATTTTAACTTTGAATCTTCTTCAGAGTTCATTTTGGTCCCTCTCCTGTTATTTCCCTTTCCTTGCTGCCTTTATTCTCTTTCAGAATAAATGTTCTGAATTTATCACTCCCTCATAACAATGAGGAGGTTGGAGTTGGGCATTACTGAACATATTCCTAAATAGGAATACTGTGTATCTTTGCAATGCCTGCTGTTGCTATGATTATATGTCAACAAATATTGACAGTATCTAATATTTGGTTGGAACTTTATTTCTGGTATTTCAGATTTTTTCCTGCTCATTTCATTCATTTAACCAACATTCAGTACTTAACTATATGTAGATTACTCTGTTAAGTGTCATGGGAAATAAAAATGTGTTTCGTGGTATTGGTTTACAGGGAATTTAAAAATTGATAGAATGATTAAGATATAATCTAATACATTGACGCTAACACACTAAAAAATGTATGATTCCTTTTGCCTGTGATACAATTATAAAGTGTAGATTTAAGTGGGGTTTGTTTTCTGGCCCTTTTATTTTCAAAGCATCAGTATTTAGACAGGTATGCTCTTCCGTAAGAAACCACAAATTTAGATTAACAGGCAATTGTAAGAAAATGATTTAAATTCAGAAAGATTAACTGAAGAGTTTATTTTAAATGTCATATTTCTACTTGTAAATCTTTGCTTTCATAATATAGTTAATAATTTATAAGACTCTGGAAACAAAAAAGGTAAAGTGTTTAAACACTATTTTATATATACATCAGTTAAAAATAAAGTAAAATTTAGTACCATCCCTTGAAGGCATCATAAAAAGTTGTGTGATGTAACTGAAAGAGCAAATAGGCTCTGAGGTCAGACAGAGTGGGTTCTGGTCTCTGCTCTTTCATTTTCTAAGTATGGATGTGGCTGTACAGTTTTCAGTGTATTCATTGATATGGGAAAAATTATCCCATTCCACAAGGCATTTGAGAGGATTAAGTGAAATAATGTGATTAATGTATACAGTTTGTAGCACATGGTAGATCCTCAGTAATTAGATTCCTACTCCCATGATATATTTTTGAAGCTTTTGAAGATATTTAGAATGGACACTGACATACTTTTGAGTACTCTAGTGTTCTCCACTTAAACTGTATTATCTAGGCTCACTCCCAGGTAGCATTTGGATAAAATGTAGGTTACCAGGTAATCTACAGAGCATATAATTGAGTTAATTATTTTGGAGCGTGGCCTTTGTTCTCTTACCATCCAATATTATTAATTACCAAATAATTAATAAATGTGTTTAAATTAGCAGCTTATAAATTCAGAAATAGGTTCTAGAGCTATATATTTTTTAATAAGAACACACTTATTAAAA